ATATTTGTTGGCGCGATCACAAGCTATGCGTAATGTAATATTTAACATTATATTATCTGCTTCTGCAATTTTGTGTAGTGTAACGGTATCTTACCCTTTTGTATTGCGGCGCATCAGCTGATGTGTGTTTCTCACCATCAACCAACGTGCATTGATGATGATGATTATGATGATCACAATATATATTAGCACTGACGCAGGAGTACATTAATGAGTCACGTTTCCTTCCCATGACACACCAGCTCTCCTGGCTTCCGCTCGCGACACATCCATGCAGTTTGGGAGCCTCGTGATGAAGTATTCTCTGCTCATTTCACCCCCGTATCTCCGCTCCTACGAGTCCCATTCTGATCGGCCTGGAGTCGTTCGATAGCTCGTGACTTGCATCACTCTGCTTGGGGTTGGCCCGGAAGGCTGCGATAACGGCGGTTTTGTCATTTTTATTGCGTTCTCCACGAATGCCCTCCGTGTTCTGTCTGGCTCAGGCTCACTACCGGACGCCGCTCGCGCCCCATTCTCGTCTCGTTCCGTCAAGCCAGTGTTGCTCTGTCTGCTCCCCCTCATTGCGCCTGTTCCTCTTTCCGTCCGCCCCCGTTTTAGTGGTTTTTCTGTCCTCTGGGCAATTACTGCCTTCCGCTTCCCTACAATATGTTCGCCCCCATGTCGAATACGCAATCCAAGCCTGGCGTCCATCGCTGAAACACGACCTTATTGCACTGGAGAAGCCTCAACATCGGGCGCCCAAGCGCGTCATTGGAATGCGAAATCTTCCATACGAGCAGAGGCTGAAACGATTGGGGGTATTCAACGGACGATACCGCAGATTACGAGGCCATCTGATAATGACCTACTTGATTCTTCACGACCCACATCTTGTGTGCCACTGCTTACTGAAACCAGCAACACAAACCTGCGACGTCACTCACTGAAACCCCCAGAACAGTATAGCCGCCTGGTGTGCCGCAGAAATTTCTTTTCCATTCGTGTATGTTACCCGTGGAATGCTCTGCCTGAACCGGTCGTCTCTACACGGACAATAACAGGGGTTAAAAGCTTAGATGATTCATTCATCCACTTACACTGTTAATTAACACCTTCTCCATCCTAATCCTGGGATATACCTAGGATTTCATTGCTGTTACCTGTGTGTGCTGTGAAACAACGCAGGCTGCAGGAGTACACCGGAACAAACGACAAGTCCTCTTCATACTTAAAGTACTATCTGTCTTATTATTAGTTTTTCGATAACCACCAAACTATCCAACGGGACTTCTAAAGCAGTGCTTCTTAACCCGTATAAATTCATTGAACGATTATGAAGTTTGTCAATGGGAAACCGACAGGTTTTAGCAATCATTGTCCCTAAACAACCATCGACTTCGATTAAGCCGTCGGAATTTTTAAATTGTCAGCCGGCTTCCGAAGTTGCTCCATGATATATACCCTTCCAGAGTGAACAGTCTTGAAGCTGCGATCTATGAGAATTAACGGTAAACGAGCTGTTTATTATGTATGCCATGTTATGAAGCGTGGTCAGTAAGGAGGCCCACCATTAGCTCTTTGTGTTCGGTGCCGGACAACACCAGATTCACTTGGACGGGCGCTGTTCAGCCTCCACTAACATACAGACCAAGCGCACTTTTCATCCTCCAGACGCATCTGTGTCGTAACCATCGCGATGCCTTATGTGACCCTATGATCCATTGAGATAAGCTAGATGAGCACTTTCAGAGTCACGTCTATCAGATGGTTAGTGATTAGAGGCCAGAAAAGTTGCGACTCCTGGTCTTTTAGCGTGAGGTTGGAATGAGGGCAGTTTCTTACTAATTAATACGTACTCACTGTATCCAAATGGCAGAGTCGCTGCCTTGAGGTCAAGTTTTTGAACGATAATCGTTCTCTTGTTTTGGGCTAGGGCAACCTGACACTATCCTGCCCACGTAATACAACCAAAACACCCTCGGAACAGATCATCGGTGCTTTGACCGTCGCAGACGATAATCAGCGATGTACTAGCTGCTTCACCAAGTGGGATGGATAGCTTTAAGGATGTTACAGCCAAAAACACTCGTTTTCTTATTCCCATCTTACACTTTACACGCTTACCTTCCCATTAGAACCTCGCTCTTATCCTTTATCTTTTTATTTCTCCGCAATCCCCGGCTAACTCTCATCTAGATATGAAAAACATCTTTCTTATAGTTTCGAACCACATGCAATCCCACAAAGTCGCTCCGCCCCCCCCCCGCCAGTTTCAAGTCTAACAAAGCGAACAACACCGATTCACCTGCGTTTACCTGAATCCCTCGATGCTGGCCAACATTTGCATGCCTCCAAGGGCGCACGTTGCTACAAGTCGGCTAACATCCAACAGCTAGCTGAACACCAGAGACCTTATCAAGCGAATCAGTTTCGTACCTAAAACCCGCTTGCAAGACTCATGCTTGGTGCTCTACGTACGATCCCCTTCATGAGACACCGAAAGTGCTTTCTCAATGAGTATATCCGGAGATAATTCAGCTTCCAATGCCTGTCAAGAAGTTGTGAGTATTGATTCAAGCCACAGAATTGAAGCTACTCTGATCGACTGGATCCCAGTCAGTAACCGGATGTGTCGCCAGATTGGCTGGCTAGTTCAAAATCGCACGAGGATAGTATGTGCCTGTTTGCCATAGTCACCTATGCCCCTACAAACTGTAGCGCTGACTAGGCGGAAGATGAATTTATTCGTCAACGTTGCTAATTGCGTTAACTTTATCACGTTTTTAGCAATTTTTGAGTAACTTGCAGACATTTTGTATTTATCGCGGATTTGAAGAGTTATGGCACCATGTCTCTATGCATTATTCGATTTATGTTATTTGATCTCGTCGTTCCAAGTGATTGGCTGTTGATTGATAGTCCCGATGTGGCTGCGCTTGATGTGCATGTTGACAAGGTGCCCACCTGTCTATTACCCACGACCTCGTCCATACTGCCTCCAGAAGACAGTTGGTCATTGCTGGAGGGGACAGGGTGCACGGTCCTTGTGGCTGTGCTAGGCTCGAAGAGTGGTTCCATGTACTCAGTTTGGAGCGGACTACGGTCCAGCCACCGCCTTGTGGGCGACTGATTCCCTAAATACAGCGTGCTTGTGTTTGTCTGTGAAGGAGTGTGGGCCGGCTCCGTTGATGAAACGTGGCTCCCATTCGCATGCCTCCCGGTCTTATTCCTTCGGGTTTACACTGCATATGCGTTGCGCGGTTGGAGCTGTGGTTGGTGCAGTGCAAGCCACCCGTGGTCCCTCTGTAGGTGTAGACGTCCTGTGGCTAGCCACAGTGACAGACAAATCCGGAACCGGATGCCGCCAAGCATGGCACGTCGTCGACTGGTCACCTTGCAGTTTCGGTCGAATTCGTGCAGCAACAGCATATAATGCACGTCAGGGAGGGCGATCGACGGTCATATGAAAGACACAACCAAGTTAATGTGAGCGAGTAAGATCCAGCGGACACTCGAGTGAGGCACCAGAAGCCTTCTTGCCAAAAACTAACTGGCGGACCTCGGCATTGCTCACGCGCGGTTCCCATCAGATGTGGGCAATGGTCCCAAAGCACCAGTTACCAAAGTCGAACTGGTCAGCTCTCTAAACCATACGATAGTACCGGCCTTCTAGCAGCGTTATACATCCTACCTTTCAGAGACCGGTGGATATCACACCACCCCCATAGACGGTTGTGCATCTGAAATGCCACGCAAACTTTGCTGATAAGTGAAGTAACAGTGATGTGACTACCAGAGGTGGTATGGCTACCAAGGTAAGTGAACCGATCCAGCATTTCCAGTGACAGTTCGCCGATAGCTAAAACCGGTAGCCTATCGATCAAGTACTGCAACAATGTTTTACAATTTAAAGATACAAGGCACATATCGAAGCTTGCAGCGCTACGCCTCAGTCTACTCAGTAATAGTAAGTGAGTTATCCGCCTGTTCAAGATTTATCAGCCTGTCATCTGGCAGCATAAATAAATAAACTGTTAGTCCCAGACATTCGATGTACAGCAGTACAGACTAGAACGTGATTATTTCCATTAAGAGAAAATGAAATGTAGTACTCCATTTGTCGTGAATAATCGGGAGAAAGTTTTTCGTACACCCTTTTGTGGCCTTGAGAGTCGCGGAAGAGAGATTTCAGGGTAGAATGGAGTTTCCTTGGAACACCCTTCATGGACAGGCAGCACCACAAGCTAGCCCAGTTAACACAGCCGAAGGCGGCTTTCAGATAAAGGAAAACCACCATAGTAGGCCGGCTGTGTGTCACCGTGCCTCCCCTAGTTGTACACGTATGACATCACACCGCAGTTAGCAATCCTATCAAATAATACAAATGCTTTTTCAGAGTAAAATGCGAAGAGATATACCCTTAGATAAAGGGATCTATTTCGCTTACAGTCGACACCATGGTGCTCCTTTGATTGGAATTTGCGCGTGGTACATCCACTCAACGGTACTTCATCCTAATGCTTCCAGACGTCAAATCACAGCACTTACTTGGAACATAAGGCAAGAATGGTGAAAGGTGGAATGTCCACCGACAATACGCTTCAGTAAAGTGCGTGCGAGTACGTAACAGAGGAGAAAGATAATCTACGGAGGAAGCCTTACGCAAAACAACAGCAGACCAGAGGACAAAGGCTTTGAGTCGACTATGAATGCCCCAGAGTAAAATACGTCAGCCGCCTAGAAGTAACTAATGATCACCGCTGGGTGGTACGCCCATAGTTTGACAAGTTGTGGGGAAGCACCTGAAGGCAGTGAAGACGTGTGGCTGTGTCCAGACTCAATTAGTCACTGAATCGAAGAGTAGATTGTGAAGCAGAACGCAAATACTCAAATACCTGATTCTGAGCGTCTCTGTTACAGAAACGTTGCGAGGGAAAGACAAATAAGTGTGTTAATTACCAGCAATGTCAGACAAAACTCCGTCTAGAGAAGTAAAAGCATGCGTTACGTAAACTTACACGGTGGAAGTCGTCGAAGTTCACAGACGCAACTTTTCCACGAATTCGGGACGCAATCGCCTTACACGCGTCCCCGATAAAGTCCGGCACAGAGAATAGTTTGGCTGCATCTTCTTGGCTGCACGGTTTGGAGACTGCAAAATGCCAATTGTAGGACAACTGTAGCGACAACCGAGCGTGATCCGCTGTCTCCACGACAACAACGTCAGTGCAAAAATCCGGACCCAACAGCAGACATAAAGTCTTGATCGCATTTGGTCTTTTTGGCTTGCCTCCGCTCAAGCTGAGTCTTGTAAACTGTTCATCCGGACCAAGCATGACGAGAGTGGGACCGAATTCAACACGAGCTTTGTTCTCCTTATAGTCGTAGACTTGAACCGCAGCGTTGTGAGGCACCTGGAAGGTAACCACACGCGTCAGATCAATGCTGGTCTGCGATTCAGGGGCAGCCAACCGCATTTTAGAAGCGTAAGCTCCGCGATCTGCCAATGGGTCTTTGTTGCTGGACAGCAAATCAATGACATCTTGGGGCAGTTTCTTTTCCCATAGTTCTTCGTCTTCAGTCAGCATATAGGCCTGCCCAATTACGGCGCGCACTGTCCCGGTTTTTGTATTTCTAACGTAGATGCCCTCGTTGCGATCCAACGGAATCAGAGAGATGCGGCTGAAGACTTCTACTTCAATCGGCGGAACATATTCAAGGGGACCACGAACCGTCCATCTATCACCGGGACGCCGAATCTTGAAAGAGATAGGAAGCGGTCAAGTGAACTTGGGACAGACAATAATGATTTTCGCGATGGCGTAATAAAGGAGGCGTACATATTTGAAATGAAGCAAAAGAGAAAGGGACTACTGGCCTTGGGTCGCGGTTGAGTTGCCAAATGCCAGAAGAAGGGTGTGGACACCTCAGAGACAGATGGATGATTTGGTAAAGTTGATAAAGTCCGAACACACCAATTAACACAAAATGTACTCGGCGCTGACTCACCACCATTTGCTTCTTTCGCACCGGCTCACCGTCACCATGACCTGGAGGAAATTCAACCGATTCCAGCTCATCTACGAATTCCGCTTCGGCACGCAAAATCAGTCCCTCATCATGCCTTAAAATGTATGTGTCCTCCACATCACACTGTAACTGTTCGCCAGGGTTAAGAAAGAAGGATGTTTCTCCTGTGACAAGCTTTTTCTTTCCCAACTGTGGTACACCATCCGCATCCACTGGGTTCAATATGACGCAGTATTTATGTGCGCTGAGGACAGTGATGTCCACTGTCGAAACGACTTCTTGGTAAACACTGCAAATATAACTATCAGTGTCCTTGGATGTGATAAGCCATTCATCCCCAAAGCGACGTTTTTTGCCGAATTCATCCACATGCGACGCTATCGCACGTATGTGCAGTGCGACCTACAATCGAGAAACGGAGGCAGTGGCTTTAAGTTCAATTAAAAAGGTCAATTAGACGATGGCATATACCAGTACGCAAGAAAAACCGCGAAAATGGACAATAAAAGACAGTTAAAGGAGGGGTTTCAAACTAATACATGGCCGGGGATTTGTATTAAGGGCAATGAAGCGATAGAAGAAAAAGAGAGGAAGTCAAAAAGGTGGAGAGCATGCGTAAAACGCCCAAATTGAAAAAAGATGTACTGAACAACGGTGGCCCAGCAATGAGGATGTCTGAAGGCAAAACTCCATAAACAACACATTCCAGCTGACATAGTAAATAAGTAATTGGAAGTTCTCATTCACGCGCTATCAAATCCTCAATCGTACTAGCGCGCACAACCACAGCCGGTTAAGTATTTAGAGCCGTGTGTTCTGAAATGATTAGTGGGAGTGGGGCATTCGAAGCTCATGTTTATTTTCAACCGCATGTCTCAAAGTGACACTGACTGTGAGACTTAGAAGCAGAATAACGAGCGATGTGGAGCAAAGGAGGTTAGATCCGTTTTCATTTCATGCGTAAAACCAGTCTGGGTGGGCACTTTGGAGCTAAAAATTTAGAGCACTTTGGTCATCGTCAGTAACGCACATGACAGTCGGTGACTGATGAGTAGGTAGGCCATGGATGAAACGTAGTGAACACACAAAGCCTTAAACGTAATTAGGTAGAGCTACCCGACCTCAAGCTATCCTTTGGATGTGTCGAACATTGGCTAATGCACCAGACTGCCAGGTGCAATCAAGTCTGTGTAAATCAATGTGTACCATTGATATAGTTTGTCATTTGGCACACAGCTTGTGCATTGTGAATATCGTGAATGATCAGCTGCACGTGTAGGTGTGATACAGCATATAAGTACAAGCGAACGAGTGAGTCAGGTAAATCTGTCGCATCGGAATCCATAGTTCCATTTGAGCATGCAATGCAGGCTTTGTGTCAAATAAATGTTGACAACTAACCTTTCTTATTGGAAAGTAGACATAAGCAGTTGCACTAATGTTTTCCTTTGCTAATGTTAGTCAACGGAGAGAAAGTAAAATGACAACATACGAAAGAAGAACAGCTGAATCATGCCAACTTGGTGTGGTGTTTGCAATGCTCTTAAAGTGATGACTCGAGCCGGAATGCTAAACAACCGAATTCAGATTTGCCCCAGTGGACAAAACCGTGTTTCGGAAACAGTTCAGTCTCAAATGAAGTAATGTTTTGCGGTGGATCTAATATTCGGCCTTGCGTTGGATAGTGCCACAGATGATGAGGTGAACCTGATCAATTAAGGAGATCTGCTGAGTACTATGTTTCCGAAAAACGATCGATCGCGAGGTGACTGTGTATTGTTAATCCAACTAGTTAAAGAGCGCCCAAACCCACAACGCCAAATTCAGTTGGGTAGAAAAAACAATCACTGTCTCGGAACCCAGACGCGAGTGAGTGAATGTGATGATTTGTGCTACCTTTTAACAACCGCAGGTAACTGGCATAGATGACATAATAGTACTTCTGGCCTCCAACGGATGATGCAGCGCTCGCATTGATCGGACGGCCATGCTTGTGAAGTCAGTGTTCGCAGTTGGCGTCCAGCAAGGGACAAATGGATACCGTCAAATCAAGATGCGCGTCATTCCTCGTACTGCAGTTAACGGTCGACTTTTGTCTATTAGGCCGGAAGTGTACTATGCTGGGCATAACAACAGAGCAGCCGAGTGGAGAAACGTCTACGAAGAGTAAAGATAACGGTGATCTCCAAAAGATGACTAGGAATTCGATCGCATCGGTGTCTAAAAGTACCACCTAGCATGGAACCTTTTGCCTGACGAGGTCAGCCTTGTGATTGCTCTTTTGCAATCATAACGCTTCATAATTGCACTTCCATGCACGTGACATTTTCTTCTCCTGCCCTATGCCATGATGTGGGGCACTAAGTTGGAGGCTTCATAGAATGTGTTTGGATTGATTTAGGCCACATGATGAGGAATGAAAGACTGTTGAAAAAACACCCGAGCTCCATGGGGAGAAGTAGTTGTGCGATTAAGGATCTGTGCTAGTGTTTATTCATGTGAAGCAGAAAAGTTGCAACAAAGATGCCGATTTCATAGACAAGCCACTGATTAGAACTCAAAAAGCACAGATAAACATTTTCTAGAGTATTATTGACGAAGGAAACGTATCTAGAACACCCAAAATCCGGAATGGAAAAACGCACATAGTCAATGGGAATGACAGTGAAAACAGATGAGATAATAAAAATTTCATCGAGCACAAATAAACTTACCTGTTCCGTCACTTTGTAGGCCATTCTCTTTTCAACTACTTTCTCGTAAGGCCCAGGCAAATATACACCTGGTTTACGCACAAGCCACCGATCACCGTGGACGTGTTTCACGCCATCGCGACCTGTACAATCCCGAGTGGCCTCAAGACAAAGCGCCGTGTTACTCTCTATGGTCTCTGCCTCAACTGATTTGATGATCTTCACTTCCTTTAGAGGTAAATAGGTCCCTGGAAAATGAGAGAAAGAAAAACAACACTGATAATGTACAAATAAAATACAACTGATAGCAACTGTTAGCATAAGTGTTAGGTGTTGTCCGCGTGCAACGCTCTACACCGCACGACCGATTCCGCACTCTTGTTTGCAATCGCCAGGCAAGTATAGCAGGAGCGGGACTAGAATACGGGACGTTGGACGGTCAGCTGTCGCCATAAGCCATCGAAGCACGGTGAGCAACGCTCGGTTGATGACTCATGGAAAGAGGTTAGTGAGAAGTAATCGTTGTGCAAATGGACTGCGACGCGTAATCTGCCGGGAGATAAAAGTGAAATTGCTTCACTCTTGTCACAGCAGTAAGCAATCTAATAGAACTCATTCATTTTCAATCTTATTGTGTTTTCTAAATTTGAAGGGAAGTGATAAGGTCCTTCACATGAAGAGAAATCCTCCGAAGTCAAACTGTTTCTGATAGCTCCCGAATGACCTAGCGATGAATTAAAATGTTCCGTGTCGACTGGGTCGCATTCGAACGTTATCGCCATCTACAGTTGATATGGCTTATGTCATGAGACAGAACCTCCTACGTTGCTTGAACGTACAAGTTGTCGTTTTCGGTGCCGTGGCTCGAAATGAGGTTCATTCGCAGTTCGCTCGACATCCGAAATGAATGTATCCATAGCTCGCGCACGATTGGCAGTGATGCCCTGGCAGCGGAGTGGCAGCAAGACCATTGTACTACTGTTTCTTTTTCAGGATAAGTCAAAAAATCTAAAAAGTGAATGATCGATAGCTAGGACACAACAAGCCCTATTGGCCATGAGGGATCAGACACCTAGTATGTAGACCCATTAACTAACCGACTTCTAATCGGCTCACATCAGGCAATCTAGCACTGGTAGCACATAAGGTAGTGATGGAAAGTGGTGGCATATTTGACCGAAAACAGTCGAATCAGAACTATCTTGGTGCTGGATTGGGATACACTAAAAGCATAATGCACTACACAATGCAGCAACAGAGAAGTATATAACTTTTAAATTCGATTTACGCGAGGTAAGCATCGAAATTTCCATGCAATGGTCACATGTTAGTCGACTGCACTTAAGTGATCGCAGATGAGTGTTTATCAGTTAGCCTGATAATATGCAGATTGATAACAATGGTAGTATATGGGTATCTAGATTGAAGAACTTATAGTAATAAGAGTATCAATAGTAATAATAACGCGTATATTGCTCATGCTACGAGAAAATATGTCTGTGACGGCATAGATTAAGTTGTATAAAAGTAACCATGCTGTTGTATGGGCGATATGCATAGGTGCAATATTGTGGCATGAGAATAGCGACTTAGTGAGTGGTTGAGACGAAAGCCAAGATACGGCAACGTTGATGTTTAGACGTTTTTGGCTCCTATCGGAATAGTTCATCGAGTGAGTTTTCCCATGTGGATATGGTTGCTATTCTATTCATGTCAAGGTAACTTGGGAGTTTGTTAGTTAATGCTGTCACATTATCGCATGACCTGAGTGCGATTGGTAGTTTATTCCACGGATAGATATATCCAAGTAGGAATAAATCAGAACACATGCTTGTGCTAACCTTTGGTATAACCAGTGTACACTTTGTTGTGATGCCCTTGAATCGAGCTATGATGTAGTCTGAGTGTAGACAGATCGAGATACGTCTTTTGCCTAGCAGGTTGTAAAGCAGCAACAAGTTATACTTTAATGATTGCTCTCAACAATTCATAGCAAAATTATACAAGTCAGATGCTCAGTAAACGACCTCTGCATGTGTTCCTGAGCAATTCTGTCAGGCCCCCTCAAGTTGCCGTATATTATGCTGCAGTACTCGAGGATGGGGCGGGTGAGTGGCTCAAAAAGCTCAACTGGTTTTTAATGGATCTATAAACCACATATATTCTGGTCCGTGCTACTTCGTATGGGGTCTGTTCGGAAAAATTGATCGACTGGTACCTAATTTCCAGTTCGCGAGTGGACAACTGTATATGGACATGTCCGTTGTTCAGGGGATGAAGCAGCTGTAAAAAATGATGCTTGAAATTTTAGCTAGGAGGCACAGTATCCAAACGTGGCACCACGCCTCAAGGAAATATAATCCATCTTGAATGAGCAGTACCGTTCCATGAAATTCGTCAGGTGCTGTCCACTCGTAACATTGCACTTCGCAATGGAACTCGTCCTTACTTGTATTCTTTAAATGGAGATAACACACGGGATGTGCAGACCGCCGGCCGAGGTCCTTATCCCCCACAACATCCAGCCGCAGGGAACCCTTGTCACAACGGTTACTGACTCATCGTGAATCTATTTAAAGCACTTATTGCGTGAGCAGATTGCGATTCACGTTAAAGGGGATCTTGATCAGTTCGGTCACCAGAACCGATGAGGTGACCACCACGATTGACACAAATACTCGGGTAAGCAAGCTGAGCGGCTACTTCGAGTGGTTGATCATTGACAGTGAGAAAGGATGGTGAGTTGGCAAAGCATTGAAACAGTAGTTTGCCCTTTGAAGGTGGAAAGCACATCCCAAATGGCACAACGTTAAGTCTGTTTATTCGGTACTGCTTGTGTGGCAGCCGTATATGATACGAGCCAAAGCTTCGAAGCTATGGAATCCGTGACCCTGTGCTAGTTTGGATCGGCAACTTCCTCACTCAACGTCAGCTGAATGTGAGTCCGCAGCTCCATTTTCGATCCAATTGACGTTCAGTGTGGCGTGCCCCAAGGATCGGTACTGGGGTCACGTTTATTCCTAGTATTCATCAGTTCATTTAGTTCATTCAGTATTCATTCATTCATTCAGTATTCATCAACGATCTCGCTAGTGTACTGCAGTCGAATTTATTACTATTTGCAGATGATATCAAAATGTGGCATATCAGGACATCGGATGATTACATGGCATTGCACAGCGATCTTGACAGGGCTTATGCGTGGTCATCCGATAGCCTGCTCCAGTTCAACACGACCAAGTGCAGTCGTAAGCATATGCCATCAGCTTATCTATGAATATCGACTTGGGGACCATCAGTTACAACGTGCTTCTCAAGAAAACGACCTCGGGATGATCGTGCAGTACCACCTTGGTTGCTCGAGACACGCTGAAAGGTATCGAAAAGAGCCAGTCAACATCTTGGACTCTTATGGAGGGCTTTCTGGAATTTTGAGCCATCAATCTTTCCGCAAATGCTGAACTCTTACGTGAGGACTCACGTGGAATATGCGATCCACGCCTGGCGTCCCTGGCGCAATCGCGACATCAATGCACTTGAAGTTCCACAAGGTTGGACAACAAAACTCGTTAGAGGATTGTTTCTTCTCTCCTACCAATGCAGACTGCAGTCCCTGAGATTGTACAGTGGTGAATATCCAGGAGACCTAATCATGGTTTACTTAATACTGACGAACCAAGTTGCCCAGCTCGGAGAACTCCACAACAACTGAACAAGCCTCCCGAGCTACCAATATTCCAACTCATTTCGAACTGACGAACCCAATTCACCCATGCCGCAATCTGTTGCAGCTGAGCCAACATACCAACCTGAGAGACCGTCAGTTTAAACTAGCTACGCACTACAGTCGACTTGACTGTCGAAACGTTTTCTCCCTCCGTGTGTCCCGTGCCCGGAACTTCTTTCCGACTCACGTCGTCCTTGCCCCTACAGTAACGCTATTCAAAAAACGCCTGGATGACACGCTTTCCAACTTGCATTATTTGATGTAGTTGATTTCACTCGGAGGACGAAATAACGCAAACCAAACCATGTGCCTAACGGTCCTCTCCACAATGTGGTGATAATTATCTATGCAGAATTATCCATGTGAGTAGCATGGATGTATCTAAACTGGATTAACACAACACATCTGTCAAATAAAGCAACATACGAGTGCGCGTAGTCGTTTCCTTGTTTATTTCTCACACATTTACTGAACTATAATAGCTATATACTATTTCGTGTGTGCACATCCCATTCCCATTTCAATCTATCGTAATGCAGTAGTGCATTTAGATCAGTAGACGATTAAACGGACGATTTACTTATTCGTTGGCGCTTTCAATTTTAATTTTCACTCCAACCATCCTACGGGACTTGTCAAGCACATGCTATATAACCCGTAAGAAATCCCTGTTCATTGCATGTCATCCGTATATCTCGTGTTTGAAGGTCGGTAGCTAGACATAACTCCGAGCAAAAGAGAAGTGGGAGGAGACAGCAGAAATTCATCGACCATTTCAACTGCAAAGTTGAGGAGAAAGTGAGAAATAGAGCAATCCTGACATTCCGATAGTCGCGGCGAACTCAGGGAAGATTTTGGTGTGTATACTTATATAGAAACTGAAGTCACAGTATAGACCGCAGTGTGGACAGGAACTTTACTTGTACGCCCTTCAAGGTCATACACCACCCCGAGTACAATCAAGTAATTAAAAGCAACCTTCAAGCTGAGAGATTAGTTTAACGGTGGGGTTCAAGCACCTGTTGCATCGATGCGTATTAATATAGGAAGGAATCAACCTGAATTTCATTGACCATTCTCTTGTAAGGAGCAGTGATCCACAGTGCCACGGCGCATGTGCGCAATTCAGGGGCAACTAAGATCCGACCATAACACGAGGGTTTTACAGGGCGTGCTTTAACACTTTTAAAGGATGGGAAGGAAGCATCGATAGAAAGCGCCTCATTCTTGAGCCGATTAGTGTCGCAGAACATAACTAAAACAATCAACAGTCCGCTGGCACTGACCTCAAACAGCGAGAGTGTACCGTGTTAACTCGCGTTAGATCACCGGTGTTTTTGAATTTCAGCTCATATCTAGTGGGAACATCACGTGAGTGGTTAGTGCGTGCACTGTCGTGCTTTTGGCGCAGGAAGAACAAATGAACCGCTCGGCTTCGTTATATCACGCGGTAGGCTCTGATGGCTGGACTATGTACACATGCCAGTACACCAACTCCCGTGAGGTGGGGTGTTTGCACGG